TGTTACAATCTCTTTACTGTCTTTGTAAGAACAGGCTATAGATTACTTCTGAAATTTTATGTTCAGTGCTTTGGGGTGAACATAAAATACAGATATTTAGCTTTTGCTAAGCAGAACCAACATACTCCAAACAAAATTAAAATTACATTATGATAGATTTTGGAGTTATGACAAATAAAAGGAAAGATCATCACCCTTTTACAGGACAGACTAAGGCACAGAGTGATTTGCCTAGAGACATAAAGGAATCATGAGGCTGAAACAGGAGGTCAGTTCAGATATGTGAGTTGCAGCCCAGAGCATAACTTCAGATAATGATTTGTCAGCTGTTATTTGTTTCAAAGTAACTTGCTATTTTTAGTCTATCTAAGGATAAAAGAGATACTTTTCTAAGCAACAATTGAGAGGTCTGTAATATTCTGACACCAAAAAACCCATAACAGAACTGCATTTTTAATTTTAAAACTGTGAAAGTTACAATAAAAAAGATGAGCTATGATTCAAGGAATCATCTGTATTTGAACACACTAATTTTAAGGCAGGAACAGTTGATATCCACGCAATGGAAGCCAATACAGTTTCTTTGTAAACAGACAGTACTAGCAGTAGCACTTTTTCTACAAAACAAGTATTTAATTTATAAGATCAATGTGTTGGGTTTATTTCTCATTACCCTACTCTGATTTGATTGGTAATAAATTAAACTAATTTCCCAAGTCAAGTCTGTTTTGCCCAAGATAGTAATTGCTGAGTGATCTCTCCCTGTCCTTATTTTGACCCATGAGTCTTTTACTGTATTTTCTCTCCCCTGTTCAACTGAGATGGGGAGTGATGAAGTGGCTTTGGTGGGTACCTGGTGTCCAGTCAGGATAAACACATCACGGAGCAGGCCCATGGTTTTGAAATGGTCCAAAAAATAAAAAATGGACAACTCTGGAAAACATATGCATCTGCAGCACTCTGGAACTGTTCTTTGTAAAGTTCTACCTGCAAAGCAGTTTCTTTTACAAATCATATAAAAATAAGCTGTTAGCAAACAAAAGTGGATGAAAAATAGCTCCCTAAAAGAGCAAGGAACAACAGAAGAGCACAGCTGAAACAAAGACAACTTTCCACACCTGTTACAACTCCAAAGCTGAGGTTCAGCTGATGTCGAATCTCAAAAATGAATATTTATTCTTTGAAGGATGAGGCTATTTATTTTGGGAAATATGGCTATACTGAGACAAGGGCCATGAAGTTAAAACAGACAGCTTCAGTAACATCTGTGCTTCCCCACTTGGATACCCTGTGACCCAAATAAACACTAGACACATGAAAAGAAAACTTAAATATCCATGAATCGTTTTCATCTAAATACTAGTTTACAAACCTGGTAGATATTATAACAACATAACAATCACAACCATTGAACTACAGAAGGCAAGATGCACACTGACACTTCCAGGAGACTTTCAAGTTAAGCAAAACGAAAAGCCTGCAGTGTTAAACAGCTGAAGTGCTTTTGGTGACTATAAGGCTGTGTAACAAGCCTCTCAAAATCCTCAGTGGGATTTTCTTACAGTATTTCACACGCCTCCATTAAGGGCATTACAAAATCTCACAGTTTCAGTTGTAACTAAATAAGTTACAATTAAGAGTTCTAAAATATATTTAAATTATGTTTTCTGTTTCCAGGTGAGAAGGGGAACATTGATTGTAATGCAAGACAGTAGGGCTGGAGTAGGTAAAAGTAACCAGAGGACAAATGGTTCTATACAATTAAATTAGAATAAAATTGGTACCTTGATACTACTCACAACCACCCTCTTCTGTGCTATGTTTTGTCAATGAAGCCCATGAACAGTCAGGATTATTGACAGTGCAAGTTCAAGTCTAACAAGTCTCGGGAACTTTCAGATGCAGCTTTTTTTAAAAAAACAACTTTGATTAGGATTAGTTCTACTTAACATAGTGGAACTGCAATTTTATTCCATTTCATGTTATATTATGTTTCCTGGATGCTAAAGTAAGTTTGCTGCTATCAATCTCCCCAACAGTCTTGCCCAATAAAACTCAAATGATACTAAATGTAAGATATTAAATCACCCTGTGAAGAAGTGAGACTATTTGTAAAGCCTTGAAAGCGTAACAGGAGCACACACAGCATAGAAAACAAAAAATTCTATGGGAACAATTCTATTAGTTTCTAACTATTACATAAAAACAGACACAGTTTTGAAATCCTCAGCTTAATCTTTGTTTAACTGTGTTTTAAACTTTCATTGTGCACAGACTTGCCAGAGTGTATCCTGCTATTTCTGCTTTCTGAAACATAACTTTTTGCTCAACTGCAATGCATCCTTATTTTTGTTCGCTCTTTGCAGCAAAGAAAATTGATACCCTCCTGCCATCTAGTGGCCAAAGAAACCCGGCACCAAACACTGCTGGCAGATGTTAATCCAAAACTTTTTCCAGCTCTTTTTCCCCACCAAACAGTTTTTCCTCTGCGACATTAATTAAGTAATAGCACTTTTTCAAAGAGAAGGAAATACATACATACAACAAAACTGTTGAGCAGCCAGAAGAACCTGCCTCCCCTGGCATGTTCTGAGCCTTATGGCCTCTGTGGTAAAGGAGGCTCACAGACTTCTCAGAAAGACATGCTGTAGTGAGAGTAAGATTTTAATTCAATTCTATTTACTGCTCTTGCAAGATGGATCTCCAGTCACAGCCAGAGAGTGACAAATTGAAGCTGTGAAGCTACTGGAAACAGCTGGTCTTTCTGCACAGCTTTGAATTCAGTTTCTCACCACTCTGTTCTCTCAAATTAAAATTGATGTGCTTATTTAACAACATAAGTTACTTGTTTTCTTATTGGACTTATATATTTTAATCAATACAAATGTAACGCAATGCAGAATTTCATTGAAAGTACTGCACAGCTGGTAAATAATGGGTTGCTAAAACAAAAAAAAAAGGGACAACAAAATTGTAGTCCCTCTAAGCCTTTCTAGACATTTTATTTTACAGGTTCATGTTGCCAAAATGAAGCTGTGGCAATCAAGACACAGAGACACGTTGCTTCAAGTAAAAGTACATCTACCCTACTATCTGGTACTGATTAGTAAAGAGTTTAAAGAAGGAAAAGAAATTGGGTATAGAACCTATTCTGACAGAAACCTGATTTAGGAACATCTTGCACCAAAGATTTTAACATTGATATTCCCAGTGGACTTTTCTTCCACAAATACATCTAGTCTCTTCTGAACTTATTTAAAATCTTGACATGTGTGTATCCCATGACTTTGAGTTCTACAATGGCATTCTGCACTATGTGAAAATTACATCTTACCAGTTGTTTTAACCCTTGCATGAACCGTTGATCGGATGTCCCCTAGATTTCCTGTGAGGCACAAAGAATGATCATTCTCTCTTCACTTTCTCCTTCATTACAGTCACAATTTTAGATCATATCCCATCTTCCTTTATCCTCCCACATTGTTCTCCTATCTTTCTTCAGGCCAAAGAGCTTTAGTTTTTATGAGACAAAGACCTTGTCACTGTGCTTGGATTTTTAAGACCTTCATTGTCAAGCACCTCATTACTCTTTAGGCAATCATCACCTTCTTCAAGAAACTCTGATAGATTTCTCAGACATTTTTTCCAAGTTGAAACTTCTCAATCGCCTCATACTTAATCTGAGCAATGTTTTACTTCTAAACAAAAATGTTTCAAATTGTACCTTCAAGGAGTTCCCAAAAGATGAATGCCTCAAACTGATGAATAGCCAAATTATTTGAAAAATTTCTTATAGAAAAAAAAGAGAGAAATGCTGACTATTGCCTTTCCTTTGGGAATTATTAACTTTGAGTTGCATAATTTAATAATAGTATTAGTATATCGCCTCTTATAAAGAAGACCAATTCAAATATTAAAATACACATTTCATAATGTTTAAAAGAAACCTTTGAAAAATCTTTGGCAAGATATGGAAACAAATGTTACATTTGTTTATTTTTTTAAATTAATAAGACATACACATCATGAAACATATTTGAGGGATAATAAGATGAGACAGAGAAAGTACAGTGATTTTCTTAACAGCACATGAAAAGTCTTCCAGGACTAAAGCATCTTCACTTCTTTCACAGATTTGCTACTCCTACTAAACTCATAGAGTAAACAGCAAAAATAAAAGTATATTCTCCATGTACTTTCTCTGAATTACACCGTTCACTTGAATGTAAATGTCCAATAGTAAAAAAAAATCAAAACCTTTCTGTAAATACATTAGCCTTTGCATTAAACACCTCTTACAAAATCTCACTAAATCCAATGCGAAGTAGCCTTTTGCTTACATTCAATAGTATTTATAAACTTTGCATGCTCATTTCTCATCTTTTGCATTTTCAATCACATTGATCTCATGTTTTCAGGACTACATCAAGCAGTAAATAGTTCTTGCTTCCTATTGATTTAATTAAAGCCTATGCTTCAGTGAGACTACTACGCTTTAGAATGAAAGGTTTTTCATGTATTCTGTAAGGGGTTACATCTCTAGACTTGGTGAGGCTTCTTTGTGCTACAACCTAGATGGCACATCCAGGCTTTAAACTAACTTAAATAGTCAGCAGGGGATTTCAGTGATGCTGCAGATTAGCTGAGCTGAATGCAGTAAAATTAATGGCATATTTAATTCCCAGCTCCACCAAAGGGTGATGTTTAAGATGAAGGACTATAATTGATGCTAAATGAACTTAGTGGTCTCTTGACTGCCAAATAAAACTTATGGGAGATATTATAGGTCTTCCTATAGGGAGATACTATAAAGAAATGCTTTAAGGTACAGATCAGATACATTAAATCCATACAACATAAACCTTCTCCCTATCCAGACCATCTATGACATTGCGGACATGGTAAACTGAACACCAAATCCATCCTTTTTATGTTTCTATGATTAGAAGGGTAGCATGACAGCTGATACAACAAGAACAGGAATAAAAGCAGTAACTTACTTTCCAAAAAGTGAGAATCTGCTACTTCTGTCTGGCCTTGCATCAACTACATCTTCACCTCCCTCTTCATTAAAGTGGTCACTGTGCTGATCTTCCGACATCTACAAATAAAAGTGCAAGAATGTAATGTTTCTCAGTGAAATACTTCTATAAACCAAACCATTAAACCAGACACATGTGAGGTTGTTAGTTATATACTTTATAATATTCCATCAAGTAAGAGTGTCTACAGACTTTTGGCCCTGAATTGAGATGGCATTGCACATGGTCAGCCGTTTGTATTGCTTTCTGGCAGTTACTAGAAGAACACGTCAAATACCACTCTCAAAAATGCAGATTAGAGCAGAACTAAAATTAATTTTATGGTGAAAGATCACAGAATCATAGAATAAAATCATAGAATATTCTGAGTTGGAAGGGACCCACTAGGATCATCAAAGTCCAGCTCCTGGCTCTGCACAGGACAGTCCCAATAATCAGAGCATTGACAAAATCTTATGAGTAATTCCCAGATAATTTTTCATGGTCTGAAAAGAAGTAATTGGGATGAAAGTAAGGACAACTAACATCAAAATATTTGTATTTGCAATTCTATCCAGGACTAAATCACCCAGAGAGCTCTCGTGTTTTCATGTGCGTGTAAGCGAAAAAAACCCTGTATTATCTTCCATGGATGGTTTTAATTTAATACAGATCATTAAGCCGGTAGAAAACTACCAGAAGGAGTCATTTTTCTGATAGCACAATGCTCTGCACCAGCTCAGCGCAGGTAGAGAAGTGCAGGGCAGCTGGGAACGCAGGATTCCCAACTTCACTCCCAGCAGGATGCGCTGAGCCATCTGGTCCAACTCTGGCTCCAGATTCTCATAAGGAAAAGCAAGAGTGATTCCTACCCCTTCTCCATATTTAGGCTGAATAAACTTGCTTTTATCATCCATTTACTGAGACGACCACAAGTTTAAAGCCACCTTGAAACCCACCCCCGAGACTTTGCAGCAGCAGCTCAGGGGCCACCAGTGACTCCATGGCTGCAGCACCTCTCCGACCGGGTGGCTGAGGTTTAGGAGCACCCTCAGAGTAACTGCAGCTCCCAAAAGGTGGGGATCTAGATTCGGCTTTGACCAACAAATACACTTTTAAATCACCTCGTTAAAAAGCAGGAAGCGAGGAGTGCGCAGGCCGCGGGTGGGGCAGTGCGGAGGAGAAGCGCGGGGGCTGCCCGGGGCAAGCAGATCCACAGCCAGGAATGCCAGTGGGAAACCAGAGCCGGGAGACGGAGGCGCACGGGAACGGGGCAGGGGGAGCCACGGAAGGGCCGCGGCTGGGAGGGGGTCGGGGCCGGGTCTTGCCTTGGCGATGGGGTCCGGCGAGGAAGGAGCAGGAGCGAAAGCGAAACCTAAAGCGAAACCTAAAGCGAAGCGCGGGTGGTGCCCCCGGACGGCACCGGGGGGCGAGCTCCGGCCGCCTGTCCCTACCTCTGTCTCTGTCCCCTCCTGTCACTTTCCCTCTCTCTGTCACTTTCCCTGTCTCTGTCACTGTCCCCATCCCTGTCCCTGTCCCCGTCCCCGTCCGTTCCCCGTGGCAGAGGGTCTCGGGCGCATCCCCCGGGCCGTCCTTGCTTCCCAGGTAATGACGGCTACATCACAGCGAAACCGAAATTACCACTTCTTTAATAACTATGCCCCGACACACCCCCGAGAAAGAAGAGCCTTAAGTTTCATGGTGACACGAGATTGTCTAGATCTAAGGAAATTTTATCCCCTTGTATAAACTTCAGTGGCATTTCCCCATCTTCCCAATTATTCTGTGTGTTGCATCTCTGCTAATTATGATATCCTACTGTGCAGCTGTTGCATCAGACCCAGCAGTCCAGTACATGGACTGAAGACTGGCACAGTCTTGCTAATTACTCCTGGATGTAGGCTCCGATACTACAAAATCATACACCTACCCAGCGGTGCGTGGTGTTTAACATTCACTACCTGAAGAGATCTACATCAAAGAGACATTTTTCAGTGTAACTGCTTCATAATTGGCACAAAACATAGGCATGGTAACAAACAGCCTTTTTCTTCACGACAGGTCACTGCTTCGATGTGGTGGAGGAGCGTCTGAGCAGCACGGGGCTCTTGCCGTGTGTCTGCGTGCTGCCACTGGGACCAGGCTCTGCTTTGTGGGGTTGTGCCTGTAGCTCCTGGCTGGATACGTAGCCAAAGTTTTCTCCTGAAAAATCAAACAGAATCCCGTGGTTCCTCTCATGACACCTGTTAGCTGCTTCTTTTCAAGAAGACAGCATCACTTCCAAGTCTGTAATTGGTCATCATGGAAAACAGATACACTGGAAATGCATAGATCTTCAAGTACATGTGTGGAGGGGAGAGTGCTGTCACCAGTGATGACTGGCAGTGGCACCTGACCTTCAGAACATCCAAATATACTTTCCTAGCGACATGTATGGGAGTTATCTAGGAAATCCAGAAGCATGAAAATGTTTATTCATTACCATCCAGCCACCACAGCCAAATTAGCAGACCTTAGAAATGGCTTTTTTGTAAAGGTTATTGTATTGTTATCAAAAAAGTGGCCTGATAATCCTTGCCAATTTTCAAGAGTTTGCTAATAGAATTGGGTATGGGACACATCTGAAAAAATGGTTTCTTTTTTTCTTTTCGTGTTGGTAGCTGGCATTCACAAAGACAAAATTTGATTCCTCAATGTGCTGCAATACCTTTCTTCAATAAGTGTTAATTTTAATGGAGTATAAGATGCTAGATTTTTTTTTTTTTTCACAAAATCTTGCTTGTTTTCAGTATGGAGTAAGGGAGAAATTAAAAAGACAGTAGAAGTAGGAGAAAGTTTCTTGCTTCAGGGCGTGGAGTGATTGCCACCTAGGGAAGGGTCAGGAAGAAAAAACTTCTCATGTGTAATGTTGCACAGCTGGCCATATGCGTTACTGGGCAGGGGGAAGAGCCAGCAATGTGATACCTATACCATCAGCATTCCTTTTCTTATCCCTGGAGACTCTCTCTACTCCCTAAAAACATTAATAATGAAGTCTTTGACTGGCTATATGCATTGTAGAAAATAAGTGTTTAACCACTGCGTAAGCAGCTGCAGGATGACAGTGGAGTATGCCTTTGGGAAATCGAAAGGTAGATGGCAGGTACAAGGCTTGAGGCAATTGAATAGTACCTGTCTGGAATAATAACTGTGTGCTGTGTTCTGCACAAAGTCTGTGAAAACAAGGATGGGGCTTCACTGAGACCTGGGAGACAGGTGTGGGAATACTTTTAGGATGGAGGATTTGAGTGACTCACAAGGTGCTCGCTCCTAAATGACAGTTGTTAGGTTTTTATATATTTTGCAAGAAAGGATGGATGGTTTTGATGTGTCATGGGGAATATGGGGGCAGAGTGGTGTGATTTGGCACACCATGACTTTATGGAATTCCATAGAATAATGCATCTCAGTCAGTTTGGTGTATGTGTTTTGGTGGGATTTCTCTGTAATCAGGCAGAGATGATCTGTTGCACGTGTCATGTTTTATGAGTTTTAAACTTGGGTCTTTTTTATGTTATGATACACAATAAATTGGCATATTTGGACACTGGTAGTCTCACTGTGTGCACATGGGCTATGCTGTGCATGCTTTACACACATTTCTTCAAGCTTTCAGCTTAAATTGTAGCACACCCTCACCAGTTCTTTTTCTGCTCTGTAACAGTGATGCCTTCTTCTCCTGTTGGTTCTTTTTTCAATTTCTCTTTTACTTTGTCTTGCTCTATTAGAAGCATTTGCAAAATCCCTACACTCTCAGGTTTTCCTGACAGTGGCAACAAAGGGAAAGTGTAAGCATAAATCCTTTTAGTCATGAAATGTAAGCAGCTGTTGATTGGTTTCCAAAACAGCAAAAATGTAAAAACTGTTTGGAAGGTGGTTCCTTAGAAGTTTTTCTTTGAGTTTTAGGAGATTTTGGTCTTGATAAATCTTTTCCAGCTTTCTTTCAATATTTTGGCAAGCTGGATTTGCTACTATGCTAAATTTCATTAGCATGGAGAGACTGTATGAGGCAAAAAGACCCTGAGCCCAGGTAACTAATCAATCATGGGATTCAGGAAAGATTATAAAGAGGCTGATCTAGTGTTTGAAATTTTACAGGCAGCTTTTAACAGTGCGTAACACTCCCAGTTTGTGTAGTGAACCAGCACCAGTTTTGGGGTTTTTTTTGCAAGCAGAGAGAGGATAGGGTTGCCATAATCTGTGGTGTCTGACTTCCCGCTATTCATGTGGTTGAAAGGGCACAGCTCCTATTCAGGAGGGACAGAGGAGGAGATCTTGACTTGAATGTCTCTCACGAGGTTACTTTGTGTAACTAATGTGTGCTTTTTAGATTCAGATTGAGGATGCAGACGTGCTCCAAGTTTTCTGTGCAGTTAATTCAATGAATTTAAGGAGGTTGGAGAGGTAACAATGTTTCTTCCTACTAATTTGCACTTTCAAGGTACTGTCTCCTTGTACTTTATATGTAACTACAGTACTTTTAAACCACATTGATTAAGGTTCTACTGTTAAGTAAAGCCTTTTAAGATTTTCATTGATATCAAAAAGCCTTTATGGGGCCGTACTAAAGGAGAAAAAAAGCCACAATGAGCTTTTAACTGAAGAGAAAATGTCTTGCTAAGATTTGTCAAGATAACAAACTTGCACCGTTTTTGTGATTTAATTCCTTGCATGATCAAAATGCAGTGCTTACTTTGTAATGTACAATGCTTATTTTTCAATACACTCTCTTTTCTGTTAGCAACTCAGTGTTAATACAGGGTGGCAAAGAACAGACCAGGCAACAGGACAGTTTTGAGGTGCTCAGAAATGGGGAAATCTTCAATAGACTCCAGCAGAAACTGTGCACAATGGATGTGAGGGAAGTAGTGTGGCTGGGAAAGGCAGCGGCTGTGTAGGACATTGTGGCTTACCATGCTTCTCCTCTTGAACATGCTGTAACTTGGGAGAAGCAGAAGAACTTGGAAAATGTATTTTCTGACTTCCAGCCAAGCTGGTAGTATCTGTCACTATGAAAAGAAGCAGTCTTTGTATAACTTGAAATGAAATACTATTTATCTGTGAAATAAAGGGCTTCTAGCTGTCTGAGAGGCCTCTTGGAAGGGACACATGGTCTCATTCCTTTCAGGGACCACTAATAAGCTCTCTGGGTGCACAGTGTACATGGGGTCTATACACTTATGATCCATGCTGGAGTTCTGTCCGGATGATCACTGTTCAGGTGGCTCCTGAATAAATTATTTGTTCTGTAGTTGCCAAGACTTTATGTTTTGTGTGGTTCAGGGATGTCCTGCTTTCAGCACCTCTCCAAACTCATTTCAGGGGGTCTTAAGCAATGTACTGCCTGTGCAGGCCATGCATCTTTTATTCTTGCTAAAATGTGAGATAAAGGCTCTAGCATGGATTCAGGTAGTGTGAAGACAACTAGGACTATCAAGAAAATATATAATATAGTGACTCTTAGAGTACATGAACACAAAGAGGCAGCAATTGGTAGTGTGCCAAGTGCTAAAGAAGGAGGGGACAGCCAGGCCACTGTGACCCCAGTATAGGTCACTTGCATAAACAGAATGGCAATGTGGGACAAGATGCAAAGCTGTGTGAGAAGGGAACTGGAAGAATTCCAAACTAATTTTGTTCACAGGTGTGAGTGGGATAAATATTATTGTGATGTAACTTGGTCAACAAAAATCGCTCTTAATCCCAAAAGGAATAACATGAGGTAAATCAGCTGTTATTTTAATACAAGAAATTATGTTGTGTAGGCATTTTTTTAAAATGAAAAATGCATCTGTTTATATACTGATATATCACTTTGAAAGGCCTCAAGTGTTTTCAGGACTTTGTGCCACTGCTCTTCAGATTAGAGACTCTATTTTCAGCACACCAGTTGCTGACAGTACATTGTGCCAGGACATTGTCAGCATTCAGTAAAAGGAGTAATAATAAGTTAAGCAAAACTGCATATCTCTGTGGAGAGATGAATAGGAGGCTCTGTAAGCATACCTGGAAGGTTTAGCCAGAAATTATTTTGATGGAATTGTTTGTAATTTATAGAAAAGGAAAGTGCTTAGCAATATCCCAGGACTGCTGCAGGCATGGGAAGTGGTGCAGATGTATGGATGACTGAGTAGACTTTTAATCAGATTGAGATAACTCTTAGCTGTGTCCCAGGGTTATGGAGCCCTGCAGCTGGAAGTATTATGATTAGGTGAGATATAAATCTCAAATCCTGA